CACTTTAAAGAGGTCTTGTGCAGCAGATTTGCCTAATGCAGTACATCATTTGATTTTTTGTACAGCATTGATGGTGGATCCAAGTAAACTGAATTCTTTGACAACTTCAATCTTTTCTCCATTATGTATTGGGAAGAAGTTGCTGTTGTTTAGTGCTGAGGAGTCGGTTCCAACTCATAGCGACCCTGTATAGGGTTTTCAAGGTTTTAAATCTTCATGGGAACAGAAAACCTCATCTTTCTCCCACGAAGCTGTTGTTGTTGTAAAGTGCTTGCTGTGGAGTCGGTTGTGACTCATAGCGGACCATCCAAGGAGTGGCTGGTGAGTTTGAACCACCAACCTTGCGGTTCAAACAGACCTTGAGAGCAAGTGCTTATCCTATGAACTACTCGCTGAGTGGTGCGGCAGGCAGGCTGAAACTTCAAACTGCGGACCTTGTGGTTCGCAGTTCTGTGCTTAATGTATGGAGCCAATGCGCTCTCATTGGGAAGAAGTTGTTCTTGTTCTTAAGGGCTGTTGAGTCGGTTCTGAACCACTGTCACCCTGTATAAGGTTTCCAAGGAGTGGCTGGCGAGCTTGAACCACTGACCTTGCGGTTCAAACCAACTTTGCAGTCCAGTGCATTAATCCACAGTGCCAAACCAGGACTCCAGGTGTAAATGTTAAGGGAATAGATTGTGAACCAGGAGATAAGGGGCACTGTGAGGCCTTCACCAAATTTCCCCCTGCATCAGATTTTCTACCTATGTGGATATGGATTGTAGGGGTTATATTTCATATTATAAGCAATCAGTGTGAATGGTCGGTAAATTAAAGCACTGGACACATGCTTTGTGGTTCAGCTGTGGCCAAAGGATTCAAGCAAAACTACTCCTGTTTGAGTAACACTTTCAATCGGCTACTCAGAGCTTCCTGATGGAGGTTTTTACTAGAATGTCTCCCAGTGCAAGCAAACCCATTAGTAAATGTGTGTGTGTGAAAATGTTTTCTTGTTGTTTGTGTTTTTAAAATTTCTATAATTGGTTTTGTTCTCACCAGGGGGAATATGTTACCAATCTGTACACTTGAAAAAAACACATTCACATTATAAAGAAGCCACAATTATTTTCCTCCTCCCTCTTTTTTAAGTATGGCTTTTCCTGATTTTGTGATAGAGCTCATTTCTGTCTTCCCCACATCTTCATTTTTAAGATGCCATGCTTGTTCGGGACAGGATTCAGAAAGTACCAAGTGTTGTTTCAATCCAGCCCCATTACCCACCACCCAAAGGGAACCATGGAGAACTTTGGTCACTAAAGCAAACCAGGTGCTATTGCCAAACATGACTGGGTATCTAGTCCAGAGATAGTGAACAAATTCAGGGGAAAAAGCACTAGACTTCGAGCTGTTGTAGTTTAGTGCTGTCAAGTCGGTTCTGATTCATAGTGTCCCTGTGTAAGGTTTCTGAGGACCAGCTGGTGAGCTTGAGCCGCCGACCTCACAGTTTAAACCCAACTTCCAGTCCAGCGCATTAACCCACAGTGCCACACCAGGAGACTTTGAGTTAGGAAAGAGAAATTTTCTGCTCCTGACTTTGACCCCAGGGTTCTGGGGCAAGTCACTGGTCATCTTTAGCTCAGCTTTTCCAACTAAAAATGAAAGGGCCCTACAATAATGTTCTTTATTTACCTGGAGCAACAGAGGAAGAAGGAGGGTTAGAAATGGGAGGAGGGTATGGAATATGTGGCTAATTGTCTCCAGGGGACCAGAATGGGACGGGGCCTGGCTACCATTATTGAACATTTTAATCAAAGACTCTATTGAAGACTCCTGATCAAAAGGGGGGAAGTATAAAACAGAATTTCAAATTTTAATGGACTACAGAGTTCTGCAGCCATAAAGGCTGGATTAACCCCTGAAACTCTTGCCCTGAGATGATCTTTAAACCTTAAACCAAAAATATCCCCTGAAATCATATTGAACCAGTGTTCTTTCTTGTGACTTGCCACCAAGTGGGTTCAGACTCATAGCAATCCTGGCCCTGTCCCATAATGCTCAAGGCAGATTACATATTTCTTTTTAACTAGTAAAATCGAGTAATAGTTTAACTAGTAAAAAAGGTCTGCCTTGAGCATTACGCTTTTAGAAAAACGATCTCTATGTGATCAACTTGGGAACAGCAAGTGGAAAGATGAGACAGGAACCTTAGGAGGCAGTGTGAATTTAAGTTCATGGGGGAGAAACAACTCAGAAAAGGAGGTGTCAGTGGCTATACAATACAAACAATGCAACTAATGTCACTGAATTTACTTAAATGTAGAAACTGTTGAATTGGTGCATGTTTCACAGCATATATTCTCAACAATGATAACAAAATAAAATACAATTTAGATTAAGTAAAAATGCAAAGTTCAGACTGGGACCCTTTCAGCTTGAGAATCCTGTTCTGATTCTCAGGGAATAAGTAATGTGCTACTATGGTTTCCTCCAGAATGACCTTGCCCCTAGCATTCCCGTCCATTCCCATGGCAACGGCTCTGTTTGGGCTCCACTAGCCTCTAATTCCTGAGCAGCTGCTGCAGGTAGGAGGTTTCAGGGCTTTGTTGAGGGGGCAGAGAGGACTGTGTTGGCTAATTTCTCTCCTTCTCTTCCAGCTTCTGAGCTTATTGACAAAGTTCTTCCATCTTCACACCAGCGAGCCTCACGGTAAATGTTGGTAGTTTGGAGACGTCAGCAAGAAAAAAGGGTAATGAGGGATTTAGTTCATAAAACAAAACAAAACACTATAAAATGTAAATGACATTAGCAGGGCATTTTGTTCCATCTCAGGTCTCATTTATTATTGGTTCTTGTTGGAATTATCACACAACTGCCATCCGGACAGCTGATGCGACTGTTAAAAAGTACCAGCCTGGGACTTAGGAGTTGAGCTAGGTTCCACTAAGTAGATGGGTGACATCGGTAAGCCCCTCTCCTCTCTGGACCACAGTTTTCCTCAACTTCAGGTTACATCTGTGGTTCCTGATGTTTTTACCACCTAAGGACTCATTTGCTCTTAGTCCTTTTGTGGCTCTAGCTCATTTATTGATTTACTCAACAAATATTTATTGAGCTATCTATGTGACCCTATTCTAGGCAGGTAACTGAAGGATGAAAACAAAGATCCGTGGTCCCGTGGGGCTTACGCTTTATGTTTTAAAAGAATTTCGTCTACCAAGTTCATTTGAGTTTAGTAATAATTTGCATTTTCTCATGATAACCAGGATTACCTCACCAATGTGATATGGTGTTTTTGTTAAATGCCGTCTAGTCAGTTCCAACCCATAGCAACCCTGTATAGGGTTTTCAAGGAACGGCTGGTGAGCTCGAACCACTTACCTTGTGCTTCAAACCGACTTTGCAGTCCAGTGTATTAACCCACAGTGCCACACCAGGACTCCAATGTGATATAATTAGTATTAATAATCAAAGAAAAGTGACAGTATAAGTAGCTTTTGTCACCGACAGCAAGTAAATACTCAATCCATTATGTTTTAAAACCTCGAAAACTAGTTCTCAGAACCCCCAATTATACAGATAGACCCCTAGTGCATCAAGGACCTGAGTGCGAGGGGGCTTGCTAGTCACTATTTTAGGCTTTGCAGACCATACCGTCTCTGCCACAACTAATCATCGCTGCTGTGTGTGAAAGTAGCCCCAGACAATCCATATGAATGCGTGTGGCTGCGATTCAATACAAGTTTATATGAACACGAACTTGAAATATAATTGTCATGTCACGAAATAGTTTGATTTGTTTTCAACCGTTTAAAATGCAAAACGTTAACTTGGGGGCTGTACAAAAACGGCTGGCAGGCTATATGTATCTGGGTTGCTGGTCTGCTGGTTGCAGTGTGTAACCTCAGAGCTAGACTAGCTCAAGTTCTGCCCTAGTTCAGACATTAGGTGGTTCGAATCCAGCTGCCTCCTTGTACAGATGAGGACCAGTGGGGAATTGGGAGGAAAGCCTAGGGTTTCTGTCGCCATGTGTATGGCTCTTTCTTTGCTTTAAGCGGCTGGTTTAGTCATTTCAGATATGGTCTTTGTGTCCGTGTTGCGCAGAAAATAGATGTGTGGTCAGCTGCTTTGCCCAGGCATTGACCATGTAAGGACTGTCCTCTTCTTAGTAGCCAGTGGGAACCTAATTTTGTCAAGCCTGACCCTAGGCTTAGCCACCCTTTGCGTTTAGACCGCTCTCAGGTTGCCAAGGCTAGGCAGACCCATCTGTTCTTCTATTTGAGTCCCCGTTGTCTCATTGGCGGCTCTCTGAGCAGCTGCAAAATGTTTGTAACTTTAAGTGGAAGTCGGGGTCACCCGCATCAGCCCTAACAGTCACTCTCAGCAAGGGCTCTTTCAGTCTCTAGTTATAAGGACGAGGGTGAGTGTTCTGCTAGTAACTTCTCCGAGCTCTCCCCAGCTGGACGTCCGGGGTGGGGGATAACTAATTATTAGGAGTCAGCATTTGCTCAAGGGCTGGAGCAATAACGTGCATTTCTTTTTGTGTGTGTGTTGTTGCTTCTATAGTCGGAACTGCTTAGTTGCTTAGCACCGCAACCGTCCGACTGGTCGTCCTGCCCTGGTCGCCTTCCAGCCGCAGCTTAGAGAGCGGGGCCGGGACGGCAACGACCACAGTTGGTCGCGCGCGCTCGCGGGGGGGTGGCGGCAGTCGCATCGCCCGCCTCGGAAGACCATGCTGCGTGGCAAGGCCCGACTCAACGTGGAGTGGCTAGGCCACTCGCCCAGCCTGCTCCTCGAGCGCAGGCAGCTCTGGCCCAGGCGCACGTCGCATCGTCCCAGCCGGTAAGTCACGTGAGCGCCGCGCCGCGCCGCGCCTTGCGTCACCTCGCCGCGCCGCGCCTGCGCCCGGCCCCCAGCGGCACTTCCGGCTGGCTTGGCTGCCTTGTTTCCGGTTAGTACACCCAGCTCGACCGGTGGCTTCTGTCGTCCCGCTGCTGAGCACCTGCTGCCGGCGCGGCGTCGCCATGGAGCGCCTGGACAAAGCGGCGCTGAACGCCCTGCAGCCGCCCGAATTCAGGTACCCCGAGCGGACCGCCTCCGCGCGGCGCTGTTTCTTGCTGTCCCGGATGCGATCTTGGGAGGGCTCCCCGAGGACGGGATCCCGGCTTGCACCCGGGGCTCTGGGAGTGCGCAGATAAAAGGGAGCCGGGGTCCCCTGGGGCGGGAGTGGGCTGAGAGCGGGCATCAGATGGTAGAGCAGGTAGGTCAGGCCAGGGATTGGGGAGGGAACTAGCCCACAGTGGATGGGCTCAGTGTAGGTGCAGGACAGACATCTGCATTAAGAAACTTCTTCCCTTCCTCATTTTGAAGATGATGATGTTGAAACTCAGGATAAGTAACTTGCCTAAGGTCACAGAGTTAAGTTACGGATGAAGCTAGCGAGGGCCCGCTGATTCCAAAGCCTGGGATCTTGGGATCACATTGTTTCCCTCCCTCACAATGCCAATCTGGGTATTTTTTCATACTATGTACATATGACGGTGCCAACCAATTTGTTTAATATTTTGTAAGGTTAGAGTAAGGAGCTCTGGTAGTGTAGTGGTTACGAATCGGGCTGCGAACCGCAAGGTCAGCAGTTCGACGAAACTACCAGCTGTTCTGCGGGAGAAAGATGAGGCTTTCTGCTCCGGTGAAGCTG